GGGGGAACCAAAACATTAATTTAATGGATATATTGAACGAAAACATGGCTTTAAAAGGGGGAGAAAAGTAAAAATCAATGAAATCAATTTCTTGGGAGAAACTTGTCACGACCCAAAATCTAACTAGTCGTGATGACACCTAATCCAATCCGCTAGGTAAGCCAATTGACAATAAACCAATTCCAATGAAATTTAATGAAACAAATAAATAAAAGAAAGTATCTAAATCTCATATATTTCTCAAGGATTGGTAGTACAAATCATGAGCTTCTTAGACTTAAAGTTTATAAAGCTGGTATGAAATAATACATCATCTGTTCGATATGTACATAAACAGATTTTTATAAGTCTAAGGCTACCATGAACCAAAGGCAGCTACAACCAGAATGCATGTACGTCTTCAAACCCAACTCCCATCAATCACATCAACATCAACATCCAACATCTGCACGCAAGGTGCAGAAATGTAGTATGAGTACAACCGACCCCACGTACTTAATAAGTAACAAACCTAACCTTTGGTTGAAAGTAGTGACGAGCTGTAATAAAGGTCGGAGTCCAACATCAATAGCTGACAACAGTTCATAACAACATAATGAAAGTAATAAAAGAAGTAACTCAGAGATAAAATACTCAGCTCGTTCACAATTCCAGAAAATAGGCCTACTTTTCAAGTATATCAGTGAAAACCAAATCTTTTTCCAAAATCACCAAAAATATGAGTAAGTTTGAAAATTGTGATTTCTTTCCCAAAGGCCTTCATTAGGTAAATGTTTTATTTTTTTCAAATGGCATGAGGAAAATACAGCTCTATGCCTACATGTCAATGTATGCATGCTAACTGTAATACCATGCAGTGATAAAATAATATGCATACTCTCGGTACATCAATGCACTCAGACCTCCCAAGCACTCAATCCTCACATTCGCTCAGTCCTCACAGCCACTCAACCTCACAGTCACTCAGTCCTCACAACCACTCAGACCTCACAGTCACTCAGTTCTTCCAATCACTCGGCACTAGCACTCAATAGGTACCTGCACTCACTAGGAATGTGTACAGACTCCGGAGGGGGTCTTTCAGCCCAAGCGCTATAACAAGCCAATCATGACAGTAAAATATGCAGTGGCGTGTAGCCCGCTCCCATCGTGAATCAATAAAATATGCTGCGGCGTGCAACCCGATCCCATAAACATCCTCACCATCAGGCCTTCGGCCTCACTTAGTCATCAATCTCTCCAGTCTTTGGGGCTCTTAGTGTCATGAAAAATCAGCCCAGAAATAATGATGTGATGTATCAATAAATGGCAACAGAGACTGAGATATGATATGCATATGAATGCGTATGACTGAGTATTTAAATGCAATGTAAGCAGATAATTCAACAGCATAAGTGACCTCAGTGGATCCCGATAGGATAAGCATGTAGCCTAGACATAGTTTCTAACATGTGTCACAGACCAATAGCTCTAATACGTAGAGATTTTATGGTTACAAATAAGATCAGGTAACTACACAGTACCACAGGGATAACAGAGTCACAATTCACACTGTGCACGCCTACATGCCCGTCACCTAGCATGTGCATCACCTTAACACCAAACACATAACACGTAATCTGGAGATTCATACCGTCAGCACCATGTTTAGAATTGTTATTTACCTCGAACAAGCCAAATCCAATATTGAGCAGGCCAAACGATGCTCCAAAAATGCCATCACTCGCGTACAGACCTTCGAACGACTCAAAAATAAATCCAATTGATAAAGGTCGAATTTTTAATCAAAAGCCAAAAATCGGCCAAAAAGTCCAACTCGAGCCCGCACTTTGAAACCCGACAAAACTCATAAAATCCGATAATCCATTCAATTACGAGTCCAGCCATACTACTTTAACTAAAATTCGACTCCAAATAGATGTTCAAAACTCAAAAATTCGCATTATGAAAATTTAGGCAAAACCCCCAAATTTCCTCTTTAAAATTCACAATCCAATTACCAAAATGAAGATAGATTCACGAAATTTAACCAAAATCGAGTAAAGATCACTTACTTCAATTTATATGGTAAACAATGCCTAAAAAATTGCCCAAATCCGAGCTCCCCAACTCAAAATATGACCAAATGAACAAACCCTTGGTATTAAATATTTTTGCACAGCTGTTCTGCCTCGTTTCGTATGCCAAATAATCTCAAAACTCACTTTTGATACCTCCAATGGAGTCGTGAAATTTCAGTCAAGATAGGCTTTTGAATCACCCAATTTGGCTTTAAAATTAGGGAGATATGATATTTTGAAGTTTTAAATGAAGTCTTGAAATTTAAGGGATAAAAATGACATTTTCGTAATTATTTTACACCAAAAAATCAGCAACGAAAGAATTTTCGTTTAGCATCCAAAACTCATTCGGAACCTCCTGGACACAAACCATATATCCGTTTTAATCATAAAATACGCTACGAACCTGCTCGCATACTCAAAACACCGAAAAGAGGTCATCTTAACCCGATATTGACCATAGTCAAAGTTCAAATCCTTAACTTAACTAGTTTCTCAACCAATGATCCAAAATACACCCGAGCCTGTCGGGACCCCATTCAAGCATACAAATAAGTCTTAAAACACAATACAGACTTATTCGAAGCTTCAAATCACATTAAACAACATAAAAATGACGAATCATACCTCAAATCAAAAATCAATGAACTTTGAACTTTTAACTTCCAAAACTCGCGCCGAAACATACCAAATCAGCCCGGAATAAACTCAAATTTTGCACACAAGTCCTAAATGACACAAGGAAACTATTTCAATTCTCAGAACCACAATCCAAATCCGATATTATCAAAGTCAACTCTCGGTCAAACTTATGAACTTTCCAAACTTTCAAATTTTCAATTTTCGCCAATTAGTGCCGAATCCTTCTAGAAATATCCAAATGCAAATCCAGGCATACGCCCGAGTCCAAAATCACCATTTGGACCTAACGGAACCATCAAAACTTCAATCCGAAGTCAAATTCTAAAAAGTCAAGCTTGATCAACTCTTCCAATTTAAAGCTTCCTAGTTGAGAATCATTCTTCCAAATCATTTTGGAATAACCTGAAAAACAAAACAAACAATTCACACATGCCATAATATATCATACGGAGCTATTCATGCCCGCAAACTACCGAGCAAAGTTCAAATACTCAAACCAACTAGTCGGGTCATTACAAAACTAAAGGAGTACGCTTCTGGGACTAACTGAAGAGGAATAAAAATGGCCTCAATGTCGCGCCCCCTTTTTTCCCTTCGCGGAGAGAAGTCCAGATTTCGACATTAATGTGGGTAACAACTCATTTCCTTTTGGGAATTGACTATTTGAAGAGTCGGCACCTAACGAGTTATGGTGCGTTAGGGCACCTAAAGCTATTAACTCTTGGATTGGTTTGCATTACCAAAGATTAGGGTAAGGGCTCGAAATGACCTCTAGGGGAAGGTGTTAGGCACCCCTCTTGGTCCACAACTATAGGTCCCAGCCGAACTTATATTTATGAATTAGTCCATTAACAAATAAAGAGTTGTAATCAAGTAAAACACGTTGGACGTTGTATAACTCAAACGATAAGACAAAGATTTTGAACAAATTGTGTAAAGACAAAGTTTTAAACAAAAGGAATATTTGGGAAATGAGGAGTCCTAGGTTGGTTAGCCTATAGGATCATCCC